CTAGGCAAATACAACTTAGATGGGGCTACTATAAGGTGGGTGCATAACTGGCTGGATAACCGCACTGAGAGAGAGTACTTATTAATGGTTCACAACCCTGTTGGAAAGGCATAACAAGTGGGGTTTCACAGGGGTCTGTTTTGGGACCGGCTCTGTTCCATATCTTCATCAACGACTTAGATATTGGCATAGAAAGTACGCTTAAGTTTGCAGATACCACCAAACTGGGAGGGATTGCAACTACTTTGGAGGATAGGGTCATAATTCAAAATGATCTGGACAAATTGGAGAAATGGTCTGAGGTAAACAGGATGAAGTTTAACAAAGACAAATGCAAAGTGCTCCACTTAGGAAGGAACAATCAGTTTCACACATACAGAATGGGAAGAGACTGTCTAGGAAGGAGTACAGCAGAAAGGGATCTAGGGGTTATAGTGGACCGCAAACTAAATGAGTCAACAGTGTGATGCTGTTGCAAAAAAAGCAAACATGATTTTGGGATGTCTTGTTATGAGCAAGACACGAGAAGTCATTCTTCCGCTCTACTCTGCGCTGGTTAGGCCTCAACTGGAGTATTGTGTCCAGTTCTGGGCACCGCATTTCAAGAAAGATGTGGAGAAATGGGAGAGGGTCCAGAAAAGAGCAACAAGAATGATTAAAGGTCTTGAGAACATGACCTATGAAGGAAGGCTAAAAGAATTGGGTTTGTTTAGTTTGGAAAAGAGAAGACTGATAGGGGACATGATAGCAGTTTTCAGGTATCTAAAAGGGTGTCATAAGGAGGAGGGATAAAATTAGTTCACCTTAGCCTCCAAGGATAGAACAAGCAGCAATGGGCTTAAACTGCAGCAAGGGAGGTTTAGGTTGGACATTAGGAAAAAGTTCTCAACTTTCAGGGTGGTTAAACACTGGAATAAATTGCCTAGGGAGGTTGTGGAATCTCCATCTCTGGAGATATTTAAGAGTAGGTTAGATAAATGTCTATCCGGGATGGTCTAGACAGTATTTGGTCCTGCCATGAGGACAGGGGACTGGACTCGATGACCTCTCGAGGTCCCTTCCGGTCCTAGAGTCTATGAATCTATAATCTTTTATTTCAGACCAGGCTTCTAAAAACAAGACCAAGTTTTATACTTTTAATATAATTTTTGACAGATTCTGGTCATGTTTCTTGTTAAAACATTAACAATGGTAAGAACAAAAATTCTGCTATCACTAGCCACACGGATCTTGCACAGAGCAGGCATAAGGAGGCCAGAAGCTCCAGTGACTTTATGCTGGCAGAGTTTGGCTTGTTAAATCTCTGAGCTAAGAGGTTAAATAAATCTAGGCTGACAAAGAAATATAGAAAAATGGAAGACTGTATAGAATCCATATGTCTGAAGATAAGCATTTCCCCAGTATGTTATGTAAACTCAAGATATGAATCTTTTTTTAATCTATATGTAAATGCTGAAGTTTAACTAGTCATTGAGCTAACTTTAATTCTTCCTTTGAATTTATATCCTTCGGTCTATTCAAATGAGCTTTTAGGGTAGTCAAGGTCTCCACATAATTAAGTTAGCAACTGTGTAACAAGAAACAAAGATTAATACCCTTTAGAAGTTGGACAACTTGGAATGGAACGCAGTATATGCAGAAATTGACAGTATCATTCCAAAACACTACAAAGCACTTACATGTAGAGGTTGTTCTGCCACTACCAACATTCTGTGTTCTGCATATTTCCGGACATATTCATAAACATTCTGAGGGGTGACTGGTATATTTACACCATTGGAGATAAGTTCAACCTACGATGAAGTAGCAAAAGGGGAGAGGATTTAAAAACATACTTTAAAGAAGAAAAAAGCAACAGTTAAAACAAGAGTATCATTTCTATTACTGTATGCAGTAAATATACTGTGGTGCTATACAGCTTTTTCACTCTTAAAACATGTTTTCAGTGGGTTACTGGTTCGGGCTATTACCATGAACAGAAGTTTTATATTTAAAACCAGTCCTTGTGATGAGACCAATAATCCTGGTACTGCTGATTTCTCATTTAGATTATATTAAACAGCCCATAAATACTAGGGGCTGAATATTCAAAAACACTTAAGTGACTTAGGAACACAAATCCCACAGACTTTCAATGGGTCTTTGTGCTCCTGAACACTTACGCAGTTTAGAAAATCTCACCCTAAATCCATCTGGGGTTTGACAGACTATGAACAAGTAACATTAAACTGTAAAGTCAAGTTCAGCTTGCACCTACCTGCCCTCCACCCTCCTCCTTGCACAGGTCTATTGCAAATGCTAAATCCATTGCTGCAAAAACAGCATCAGCATCCGTGCTCTGCGAGGCTAGGATAAGTTGCCGCAAGCTCTCATACATAACCGGATCAAAAAAAGCAAAGTCATGCCAGTTCACCTAAAATAAGGTAGATGTTTGATATGTAGCATGGTTTTTATAAATATATTCAACATAATGAGTTCTAAAACGGATAATATGTACACTAGCATAAGGCACCTAAATAGCCATGTAATGAGGCATTCACTCAAACACTTGGAAAGAATCACAAAAAAAGGTAATTTCCATTCTCATCCTGATTTTCTGAGGTGCAGGAACATAACACCAGATTGAAGTGCATTGGCAAAGCACAGAGAAGGTTGTAAAGCATTTGCCCACACCAAGAATGACTACAGATCTAGGCAACTGAACTCTTGGAACGTATCCTTTCCATAAATCAGCTTGGGTCAGAACAGACCTTTGTGGATTTTTCAACAGGATTTGAAAAGGGGGTCACACGTGACATCACTCCTTTTCCCATCTCCACACTCCCTAAAACTCTGGAAGGAAATTCACCTGCGCCATCACAGAAAGAAAGCTTCTTCCCAGCAGCTGTAAATTCCTTTAGGTGGAAGTTATTTGTGTCCAACAGTTGCCCTCCTCACCCTCAACAAGCAGATCTTTTGAGCAGATCCTTGCCTTTTTGGCCACATTTTGGGGGCCTTTGCTCCATCAATTATCTGTCTTTCCATCTAAGACAGTACTTCGTGGTGCCCCTAAACTCAGCTACAGGGACTTTTGGTACTTCTCATTTTCCCATGTTGCCCACTACCCTGCTGTCATCATGAGGGAGCCCTAGAAGGCTTTTACTCAGATGGTAGAGCAGGGAGAATGTCCTTCTGTTTTGGAAAGGGGTTTGGGTGTTCTTGTGCATCTATAACCTCTTGCTCCTTTGTCACCATTCCCCTACCCCATTTGTTAAAATCACATCCATTTTGGACAATGACTGGCTCTGATTTTTTTTTTTTTAATAACCAAAATGAAGACCAGGGATAATGGGAAACTTTGTTCAGTTTGTTGCATCGGGCACCATATTTAGAGATATACTGTCAAAAGATAATTAAAATGTGGTCTTAACCTAAAACAGTTAAAACATAGGCAATTGCTGGACTGCATTTAAATTTTAAGTCTACACCTGAAGCAGAATTTGAAATCTGATTAAAGAATTCTCTCAACTGTTAAACAAAATGCCTTTTTGTAAATAGTAACATAGAAAGGGCAAGAGAGAACTAATGCTACA